GCGAGTTAGCGCTTTCGCGAATACAAGCAGTGCAAAGTGAACAATAATACCTTGATGCTAGCGAATAAGGAAGAGTCGCAAAGAGAGTCTAACGCCTGTACTTTTCTTAGACTGAGAGAATGAACAGAGAAAAAAATCGAGGATTTTTTAACGAAACAAAGCTGCGAGCCCAAGACATCTCTTTGAAACTATAAAAAGGCCGGCTCTAAAAAGAACTCCTGTCTATTATTTACACGATGTTCAACTTTGTGTTATTATATCGTACACTCAAGCCTTCTATTATACAATTGCTTTTTATATTTATTTTAATACACGTTAAACACTAAGTTTTAATATTGCTGGAAATTATTGTCATCTTTGGTATGCATTAATTTTAGAATAAAGCTTACATTAGTTATGATATTATTAAAAAAAGTTATATATACATAATTTGATTTATTTTAATATAATTTGATATTAGTAATATAATTCGATTTGCAGTCAATTTTATAATAATTTTATTATCGTTATAATAGATTTATTGTAACTTTTAAATGTATACTTTTTTAATCAAATCATCAGTATCAGTGCGCTCCTTACTTTGATGAAGTGGATAGCAAGGTTCACGAAACGTTGACGTTAGCAATGGATAAAGACACAGCGATAACCTGCAAACCTTCTGGTATTTTTAAACGTATGTATGTGTTAAATTTAATATATGTAGAATTTTGTATGTACATTTTTGTAGATAGATTTGTATGTATAAATGTTGTTGTATAGATTGTAATAAAATTTGATGAAGTAATACATTTCTTTAAAAAAAAAAATTTATTAAATTTCATTTAATGTTTTATTATAAAATAATAAATCTGTAATAGAAAAACATTACATATTTATGTAAAGAAAATTTTGGCCATCTTGAAAAATATAAAGATGAATAAAATAAGAATGTACAAAAACATGTATAAAAGTAAAAAGACAAAGAGTAAAAATTAAAAATAGAAACAATTCAACAACACCAAACAAACAAAGAGGAAAAGAGCTGTACAAAGAAATAAAAAAAGTATTTTATATCTTTAAATTGTTCAGTTTTGATTAAACATTGACTACGAAGAGCGTTAGAGACTTTTGAAAAAACATCTTTCGACGTTATCGGGAACGTTGTCGGGGATCAGAAATTTCCACCCTTCCAATTTACCACCACCGCTTGCCAGTAGCGCTACTCTAAGCTCACCGCCACCTACCTACAGTTGAATTGGCGGTGTTGGAAGTCACGACAGGTTTGCCAGAGTTGCAAGAAGAGTAGACTTTATGCAGAACGGTTTTAAGGGCGTGTATCCATGCTCGCTCACCATCAGAGTGAGTTATAAATCGATTTGTGTCCCGGCCAATGAGGGTTGGAAGTGGCGTATTCTGATTGGCCGGTACCTAGACCACTCCCACAGTGTTAATAAAGGTTCTGAACGAAAGCCGGTTTTACAACGCCACAATTGTTGCTTTACTGAATGTAATGTAGACCAACGATGTTAAATATTCAGACGTAGTTTTCTTCATGTGCTGAGAGTAAAAAAATTTCTACAGTCAAAATATTTATATTTTGATATTAATGTATAATAAATAAAATATGAAATGTATATTTTTCGTTATTATTTTAATACGTAGTGCAAATATCAGATTTAGTGTATATAAAATAAGTATTTATTAAAATTTAAATTTAAAAAATATTTCATATAAAAAATACCTCAAAATATGTATTATTAATATTTATTATAGACAACATATTTATATCATATATTAGTGTAGCAATATCGCATTATTATTTATCTCTATTTTTTTATCTATTTAATAAAAAAATAAGCAATGTTTTTTATAAACGGTTTCTAATTATTAAATTGTTTTATATATTAAAAATATTAAGTAGAGTAAGGTTAGTATTAAAATTATATTACGTAAATGTAATATAATAAATAGCAGAAGGCACGTTTAACCACATTTGTACTATAAAATTAAATAGATATAAAGTCAAACTGTAAACTGTGAATCAATCTAAAATAATTTACAAATTATTGGTTATTAAAATAAAAAGAAATAATTTAATTGCATTAAAAAGTTTGCAGGATAAATTTGGATAAAGGGTTAGTTAATGTTATACATATGAAAAGTGCCTTTAAAATGAAATATATTACAATCATTTGATATTCGTAATTGTAGTATTATTGATGAATTATTTAACAATAGAAACGAGAGAGCGTACATTTATAATTACCTGGAAATACCGATAGCTTATGATATAATGGCAGTACAATGAATTCAATATGATCCACATCATTTTCAGCTCATGTTATCAATTAATTAAATAAACAATTTCGTTACATCATGAATTCTCACAATCTAATAAATCTAACCATTATCAGATCTGCGCTGTAATAATAAATTAATATATAAATTATTTGTCTATCCATTGTGACGCGTTGTACTAATAATAAGCATTTTATTTGAAAGGATCTTTTTTTATACATTTGTTGCTATACATATTTATGGAAAGAGTCAGAATAGATAAGGTAAATAATTATATATTTTTCATTCTCTCTCAAACTTTCAAATTAGTTATTATACCAAATATAAGAAAGGATATGGTTGAAAAAGGTATCGTTTATATGTATTTGTTATTAATTTTACAAACCTTTATAGTTTAATCTATACTTCAGATAATATTAATATACGAAAGAATCTATAAAATAATGTTAAATGGATACACATGTGCTGTTATAAAAATATTTGTAAAAAATATTAATAAAATGAGTGAAGAAGACTGAAGAAAGACAGTAGAGATCAGGCCGTTATACTTTACCAACTCAACTCCAGGTCCACGTTTATTCACTGCCTGGCATTGCTCGCTCTCTTCTCCAAGTATCCATGATTGAGCACGAAAAGTTCCTCTTTTCTCCATGGAGAACCGCTCCGCCGTAGGCGTAGCCACGTCGAGGCGTCGACATTGCTAGACCCCACCTTCTCGTTGGTAACTAGGGCTATGTCTACTCGGCTGGCCGTCTCAAAAAGCCGACCAATCCGCGATACGAGACGGCCACTGCCAACGCATAAAGTAGCGGAGGCGCCTTTGTCGCCTGGGTCTACGAGGGGTCGCAGAACGGAGGGCAAAAGAGGGAGAGATGGTGAGCGAGTCGGTGAGTATAGAGGAAGAGAGAGGCCAGGCACGAGTTGTGCGCACGGATGGGGCAAACACCACCCTCGGAGCGTAAAGGGTACGTGTATGGGTGTATGTAGTATTCGTACAGTCGCCTCTGGGGTTTCCCTTCTTCGTACCCGTCGCGCACCCATCGAGCAACCCCGCGTTATTCGACCGCTCAGTTGTCCAACGCCGCGACGACGACACGGTTGCCACAACGGCAGATATTCGAGCTGCTCTGACCGGGACCATTTCTCGAGATCCTGTCTACGCCGCGCACTTTCCTCTTCCTCACACACGAAGTTGCTGCCAGGTGTTAACGAGCGCGCGTTCCAAGCGAGATTTTCGAATTTGTACGAACGCATCGACAAAATGCGATATCCGAAAATTGTTCTGTGAACTGCCGACGGTGGATCGCATCTTCGTGCAGATGTAGGCGCAATGAGAGCGCTCAGAATAATGGAAATGTATTCGAGACACATGTCGACCGAGACATTCGATCGAGAGGGTTGATAAATTCTGCCGAAATTATTGGAACGATATCCATCATTCCCTCATCATTCAGTTCGCGCTTTTTCTCAAAATCAGTAGTCATCGAATCCTGGATGCGTCAGTATCATTCCAGTTGGGTCTAACAAATAAAGTTTCATCTCTCTCAGTTGTTCTTCAATTTTAATAAATTTTCTCTCGAGAAATGGAGGAGATTCTGCAAAGAATGGACCAACTTGCTCAAGCTTGCATGTGCTTTTATGAGTGAAATTACGCGTGACATTTCTAGCGTGTGTTGTTTAGTGTTCATTCAAAGGAGAGACATAGTTTCGAGTTACATTAGAAAAGATTCGCATTTACGCGTGATAAAATAGTGTAACAAAAAGCAACAAACAGAGTAATCTGTACCTGATCACAACGAAAACATTCGCTTCATCGAAGTGAAGAAAAGAAGAACGAGTAGAAGTCATAGATTGTGATTAAAGCGAAAGTAAGTAAGATTTGGCGTTTCGTCTGCGGGAAGTGTATCACATTCATCTTGCCGACGGTTATCAAATGTTGAATGAGAAAGAATATTTGCTGGTGGCATTCTTCATTTTTTTTACAACGAAGACAAATCCTATTCTGTTGTCACTGATCGTGAACACGTTTATGTTCACTACAGATATTTATTTTGAAAATTTTTGTTCTTATAGACATATACATGTAGAAAATATTTAAAGCTTACTAGACGTTTGGGCTTCTTTTATGCTAATCGCATACAATATGACTATAAATCTAATTTCGAACGGCCTCGAAAAAAGTATGCACGTAAGGAAATAATCACTGCAAGCAGAGAGTGATGTTAAGGCCTACCGGATTTGAAAATGTTACTTCGTTAATGCTGGCAATTTTTGTGAAAAATTACATTAAGAATGATAATGGTACTGCTCTTGTAATCCAGATTAAAAATTTTGCAGTGTCTATTGGTTTCTGTGTTTAAACTTTAGAAAATTAGTTAGGTATTTAAGAAACAATGTACAACGATTCTCTTCGATTGAGTTCCTAAACGTCGGAAGAAGAATCTTTCGAAGAAACTGAACAACGATTATCTATCTGGAAGACCTAATTGCGCGCTTCGTGGTTAAACAATTAGAAACACGGTAGATAAATCCATAAGTTCCTGAATGCACTCTGATATTAGCTGGTGGATCTACACGCAGCTCGACATTCGCTTGCAGCACCTTTAAACTACCATTATCAAATATCTTGTGGATTGAAGATCAATGGTCACGTCGTCCTTGTGAATACGCGTTCGAGAATGTCGCTCTAAGCTTGTGCGATCTCAGTTAAAAAGAACACGAAGATGCCACAGCAGCAGCAGCGATCGGCGTTCGCGATTCAGGAGCTGCTGGGTCTAGATGGTACCGGAAATAGGAGTGGTACTGATCGCGGCTCCCCGCAGGGCTCGCCACCCGCCGGAGTTTCGGCCGTTTCCTACGCTCCGACTGCACCTCATCACTCGAAATTATGGGAATACATGCCCAGCCTAAATCATTTAGGCAATTTGGGGAATCTGGGAAATTTGGGGAATCTGGGCAATCTTACGGCCTCAAGGATGGCCTATCTGAATGCGCAGGCGGCTGTGGCAGCCGCCTTTCTACCGCCACCCCACCCCCACCCAGCCCACCATGTAACACACCATCAGGTACATCAATCAGGCCAACTTCCGGCTTCACCACCCGGCGTTAACCTGCATCCTGCGGCACACGCGCAGCACGTACTTCCTGGTACAGCTGTTACTACGAATCATCATCAACATAGCCCGACACAGCATACGCCGCCTCATGGTAAGTCAACGATTTTGAATTTGAGCCTCTATTAAGCAGCAATCGTTTGAATCTAATTGTGTTTTCAAGTTTTGTATTAGAAATTTGAAGAAAAAATAACGGCTTACAGCTTTAAGTTCTTCTGTGAAAAAATATATAAAAAATCGACTATATATATACACACACACACACACACACACACACACACACACACATATATATATTACTATAAAATTATGATATTTTGATTTCTTATTGTTATACATAATTTCTAAATATGCAACTATATCGAATAAATAAATCGATACCTACTGAAAAGAAAGAGAAAATATTTCTTTTGTGTTCTTTGAAAATCTTATTTTTTTACTTATGATCTTCAAAATTTCTAATTATTTATAAAAGGTCAAACTTTCAATATTATTATTAATATCATTGTCTTATCAATATTTCTTAAACGGTATACTCATCAATACATATACTGCGAACCATTCGCTAATTGTAAACAAGATTGAACTTATGACCCTCTATTTTCACAAACTCCGAAGTAAATTAATAGATGTAGCGTCGTTCTAGCGTGAAACGAACACTTAACTGCCACTTACAGCTATCACTTAACAGAGAGCCACTCAAGATCAAGTTACCGAAAATTGACACACGCCTTTGTCGCGCATCAATGTCGGCACTATATGTGCCAAGAATCTGGGGGAATTTTTGGGAAAATAGTATTCGGTTAGGCAGCTGCATAACTGTCTTATATTTTCAATATACACAAGCAATAATTGAGTGTGTCGAGTGTCCATCGATCAAGGTAGGAATTACTTTTATTTAGTTAACAGTCCAAAAGTCAAACTATCATTATTCATTGTAACTTGAAACTATATTTTCCCTGTGAACAAATGTTTCCATGTGAACAAATAATTAATTTTCATAAAAAAGTTTACATTCTCTTTTTTTTTACATCCATATAATATTATTCTTTATTCGCATTTTAATTAAATATAGATTTGACCACGCAAATAATATACAATTTACGAAATGCAATAAATAAATGTATATACAGGTAAGGAACAAAGAGAAATGGACTGTGGGAATTGATTTTTTTCGTCAGAATAATACCAAACGTTATGAATAATTAGTAGTATAATGAGTTGAGTGTTAGGTAGGCTGGTAATGTCTCACCAAAATACAAAGAGCGTCGACTAGCCGTCTGTTACCGAACTGTTCTCAACCTGAGTTAGTGACATTGATACCTTGACCATTAAATTATTAAAATAAAGAGTTAAATATTTTATTTATTTGTTAGTATTAATCTGATTGAAAAGACTAGATAATGAAAATGAAAATATAAAATTCATATTTTCGAATATCAAAAAATATATGTAAAACAAACAAAAGTTTTATAAGCTAATACATGAATTAAATAGAAATTTATTTAAATATCTATAAATTTAAATGTGTGTATGCAGTAAATTTAATGTGTGAAGAAAGATACTCCTTCAAAATATACATGCAATGCATATTATAGGGACATACATTATAGGCATACGTATTATATATATACTATATATCCTTTCAAAAATTATTATTATTATATAAAATTTTATATAGGTATATCATTGTATAGTACAAGCCATATATAATTGATTTCATCAAATTGCTCTAGCATTACCTCATTATTTTTACGTATCAGAGATTTCGCGGAACAGAACGGATTTTGAGAACTATTTTCGGGTGTCGGATTTCAGATAGAATACAAAGGTTCTACCGTTCCATTCAAATGTCACTCTGGCACCTCGTCTTACAGCATTTATTCGGTATGCTTCATTTGTTCGTTTTTGTCTTAAAACTTACGTAGTCTTAAATGAGGGTACGGGATAAAATCTTACTACCGTTATGTTAGCAATATAATGTGTTTTCATTAACAACAAACATCGAGTTTTATGAACTCATCTAAAATTCTTATTTACTGCATGCAAGATGGATGAAAAATTGCATGATTAAATAAACATTACAGGTTACAAGTAATTTTTACAGATAAAAAATAAAAATTGTAATAAAGTTTAAAAACAAAATCTCCATTTTTTATTCACATTATAAAACTTATAATTATTACTCCATTTACGCTGTGTGATCACGAAAAAATTAAAAATAGTTTTGATAGTTTATTGATTATGCAGTATATATGATAGTCACAAGTTATGATAAATTAGGAACAAAGAAGAAGGAAAAGAGTAAAGAATCTTTGCTTTGAAAAGCAAGTTACAATATCAATAGTGACAATATCAATAACAAATAAGAAAGAAGGGAAAAGTACATACATGAGCGATGAAAAGAGGAAGAAGATGTAAGGAAGAGGGAAGTGCGTGAGCGGGCTTCTCTGGCGTTGATAGGCAATTTAGTTGATTGCCGACTTCAAACGATCCAAAAAAGCGGCTTGCAGACGTGATGCGATGCTTAGAAAGCTGAAGGCGCGAAATAAATAATCGCCAAACTTGAAATTTTTGAAACAATACATTTTAGCTTCTTTTATTCACACCTACGAGATGTTTCTCGTAATATGATTTTCCATTCATGTAGGAAAATGTTTGTAATTATACTAAATCTTTTTATTTTTAAATTTGATTCGTGCATATCTAATGAAACTAATAATGTACATAAATTGGAGTCGCTGTGTGTTGATTGAGATCTGAGCTTGCAGTTTGTATGATTGGTGATTTGTGCGATTTTCGATTTTAAAAGAGTTTTATAGATATTTTATTTTGCACAAAAAACTTCAAAATATCATAAATATACTATTAAAAATTAAGAAAGAAGAAAACAAGAAGAAGAATCTAACTGCATTGTGAATGATTCAATTCTCATAACACAAATATGTTGTTTGCCTATAAATGTATGCCTATAAATGTTCATTTTATTTGTTGTAACATATCATTAAGAATAAAACAAGCAAAATGTAGAAATTTATTATGTTTCTTTCAATCCTGATAACAAATATGCGTGTATTACATAAAATTGGAGGAAATCATTTATATAATACAAACTTTTAATATTCAAGATTCTTGTAATTATTAAATTTAAATATAGTGTCGAAAAAAGTAAAATATTATAGAATCTATGCTGTATACGTATACATAACTTTTCCGTATATAAACTATTTAATACCAGAATTTATAACACGTAACATATAAATTATAGATTATAAGCAGAATTACAATCAATTTAATGAATAATTATTTTGATATCTCGAAAAAGAAAGAAAGGCCGTCAGCAATCAACACTCTCAGGAGATCATATTAATAAAATGCTATGCTATTGTTTACTAACTCAAAAATATCTAAATAAAATAACAAATAAATAATATTTATATTTTGTATACGATAATACGTTCAAGTTTAAGAATAATAAGGAAGTATGTATGTTAATTAATATTAAAAAGTATCTTGAGAACGTTTTAAAATGCTTGAAAGAAAAATGTGTTGTAACGAATGCTGTTATGTATTATAGCATATTAGCATTATGGTGTAACGGCGAGCTACTGAATAAATAATTCCATAAGTAATCATTAGAATTCGCCACTAATAGCGGATCAGATATTAAGAGAGGCTATTACACACTAGCCATAATACTACCTTATCTCCTCTACCCTTTACTCGTATCGCTTCTTTGCCACTTCGCTTCTTTTTCTTTTTTGTCGCCGCAACTTTTTAAAGGAATCATTTCGTCAGGAGTATGACTCTGCAAAAATCGGTAACACATGTATTAACGACAAATGATTACCCATGAAATAAAAAGACAAATACATGAATTCGAAATTTTCGATGACCTCTCGGCCAATTACAACATTTTCGATATTTACATTGAATAAGGTCGATATTGATTAATACAAAATAGTACTTCAAAGCGCGTCTGTATCTTTCATCAGTCATTCAACATTCACGTTGACATAAAGTTTGCTCGCAAAATGTGCGATAATGTGCTCGAGTAAAAAGTCTTTGACAAATTAAGTAGATTACCAATTTTTTAGTAGGTTTCGTTTTTTCGGGAAAGTATCGCGTATTCCGCTTCTTCCTCAACATATATAAGAGACTCGCGACATTGATTACGTTTGCATAAATTTGTACGCGTAAATGCGCGCGTTTTTTGCGCGCCCACGAGGGTAAGTGGCTCACGATGCAAATTAGTTTACTTGTGATAAAACCGATATATAATAGAACGAAATTTCTGTAGTCTTGTAATAATACTCGATCGAGATATTGAGAACCGCTATCAGTTTTCAAAAATTTTTAATTTTAATTTATGACTGTTTCGCTCTATTCGAGATAAAATTATGTAAACTGTAACGTAATGATGGAATGTATGTATTTTGAGATAATTAGACCCTATATGGTCTAATATCCAAATATAACCTATTTGCTATTTGTGGGTAATTACAGGTGAAATCATCTCTATAGCACTAATAATGCAGACTGTCCATCTAATTCGATTGTATCAATTTATTGCTTAATTTGTTCATTCTGTTATTGTTAGTAAAGTAAACTGTAGAATATAGTGATGTAATATTTCGTATCGTGAATAATTACTTTCTATCAAGAGATGATTAGTAATTTTTATGTTATCATTTTTACGTTATTGTAGTTCTGTATTTTTTTTACAACATTGTAACATTCGGTTTATATTTTCGTTCCGTTTATAGTCAAAGAAAGGCAACCCTTTGTAGGGTAAAATCAATATGACCGACCTGTAGGCATATTGAATGTATGTACACACATCAATTGTAACGTTTTTTTTTTGTTACTTTTGTTATTTCAGAACATGGATTCTAATTTACTTGCTAAACATCGTGAAGATAAGGATAAATAAGTATAAATAAACAGATAAGCCAATTATTTGAAAAATAGCTTTTTGTGTACTTTTACATGTTAATCAATATATGTCAATATGTTAACAAACTTATATTCTTATAAAAGTAACATTGAGGATCACTTCATTTTCCATTTCTCTAATATTTATTTTACTTTGAT